TTATGGATTACAATCATGTGATTTGAATTATTTTTGATTTACGTGTATTTTTTTGAGAGAAAACATTGTAGTGAGTCATGAATCTGGTTCAAATCATGGTTTGAATCATCCAATCAAACATCCTATTGGACTGAGTTTTGTAAGATTTTATAGTTTGAGATAGTTCAAATGCTTATGCAATGAAGGTTTTTAGAAAAATTTGATTTTTCTAGTTTTTCCGGACATTCGCATGTTTATAGGAGAAAAAACAAGAGTTTCCTCGCTGCATTAGTTGAAACATAAAATTGCAGCATTTAATATTGTTTTTACACCAAAAAGTTTTTTAACCTTAAAGTAGAGGTTTTGAGCTTTGATTTAATATGTGGATCATTAGACCCGCAGATAAAGTTATGATTTTTTTTATTTGTCAAGATTTTTAGAAATTTCTGTAGAGAACGCAAATTTTCAGAAATCTTGACACAATTAAAAAGTTCATAACTTCGTCTACGGATCTCCATTTTCAATGATCCATATAATCTCATTATGTAAAATATACTCATTCGATATCTCTTTATATCAACGATGCAGATAAGTTCGTTTTATTATTAATGAAAATGACATGTATTAATAATGTTTTAACTAAAAATTTTAAACTTTAATTAAATTCATTACAGACTTATTTCGATTATTATTCTTAAATATTATCCTTTAGTATATAATACTTATATACCATATTTAAGGTCACATAAATAATCACATAATTTTTAATAATATTCATAAAGTATTCAATAATACATTCATATAAATAATGAAATTTCTACTTTATTAATTAAATAATAAAATCTTTAATTACATCTTATGCTTTCAGGATACCATTTAATATCTAATAGAGTCGTAGACCAATGAAGAGGTCAGAGATTCGGGAGAGCTCCTCGGCTTGAGCTCCAGTGAGTAAACTTGGTGGTGGCGGCCGACTAGCATGCATGAGGAAGAAAGAGGGTCAAGAGAAAGAAAAAGATACAGAGCAGGAGAGGAAAAAACACATATTCAAAACAACAAAAAAATCTAAGGATAATTTAGATCTCGTTTACTTTGCGGATTCGAGTTGAGATGTGACATTTTCTGAGAGCTTTTCACTATAGTAAAAAAAGTTAGATATGACATTTTTTGAGAGTTTTTCACTGTAAAAACCTAAAACTGAAACTCAAACTGGTGAAATGAATGAGGCCTTAGTCTATTTAGTTCAAATCTTCTTCAGCCACATGACAATAAATTTGATAATTTTTCCATCTATGGTAGATGTCGATCCACACCTATTTTTTTGGGAGCTACGATAAATATCTCTTTTTATTTTTAAATTTTTTAAGGAGTTTTTTTGATAGTTTAATTTACTAATAGTCTCAATTTTTAATCGTTTCATATGATTAAAATCTCATCAGATTATAAAAATGTACATAATAAATAAATTTTGATATAAATTTAACAGTTAAAAAAGTAAAAAGTAATTTCCGTAGCCTATTTTTAGGGGGAGTACGAGAAAGTCCTTTTTTTTAATGGGCCAGATTTTTGAAAGTGAAACATCGGACTTCCTGATTGGGCTAACGCGATCTTCTGCCTTTTGAATGCACCAAACAGAGCCCAAAATTGGCAAATGGAAACATACGACGTGGCGGTGCACGTGGCGCAGCTAATGAAGTCCAACCCATACCACACTGAGTTAGAATTTTTTTTTTCAAGTGTTATTTTATAAGTTAATAATTTTTGCTATAGGAGACATATAAGTATATTTTTCCCCCCAACAAAAGTACATCGCGAGGAATAAAGCGTAAAATCCTATTATTATTGTTATAATTCACTATGTTATTATTATTCCCTTGAAGATTTAGGTAATCATGTGTTGTTTGAAAGAAGCCAATACATTTTATTGGAGACTACAATCCTATCAATATTGTTATAATTTACTATTTTATTTTATTCCCTTGAAAAATTGTATAATAATGTCTTGTTTGAAAGAAGCCAATATATTTTATTGCGACTAAAATACCTATCCCTGCATATTTTATTGAAAGAATATCTATTGATCACGTAAGATAGGGCAGGGCTAATAGGTAAAACTGCTGCAAATATCCTTGTTCTTTAGTTATCTTTTGTTCGAAAATATTTAGGCCATGTTCATTTTACCGATTCGAGTTCTGTTACAGTAAAAAACTCTCAGAAACAGTCACATCTAATTTTTTTATTATATTAAAAAACTCTCATATAAAGTCACATCTCAACTCAAATTAAAAATTCGAATCAATGAACTAAATAGGCTCTAAGTCCATAATGTTTTTCTGATAACTTTTTGTTGGTCCCATATTGCATCAAAATAGAACTTTTAAATTTATTGTCTCTCCAATACAACCTATTTATTATTTTTATTGCACTAAAATAAATATCTTATGATTATATGCTTTTTTTACTTTTTACAAAAGTTTTTAATTTTGATTCATTGTCAAATTTACTGCAATATCCTTGTTCTTTACTCATCTTTCAAAAATATTGGCCGTGTTTGGAATTGATCCTATTTTTATTTTTCATGTTTTTCAAGAAAGAGAAAATAAAAACATTTTCAAAATGGCGTTTGATGCAATAAAGATAAAAAACAGAAATGAAAACGATTTTTTAGTTTAGTGTAAAATGAGAGAGAAATGAAAAACGACTTTTAATCGTTTTTCATTTTTTATTTTCATTTTTTACTCTCTCGAGCAGAGAGAGAAGTAGAGACATTAATGGGTTTTTTTATACTGAAAATAATATCTTGATAAAACTACCAAACGCATTTTTAAAAATAATTTCTATCTAAGATTAAAAACGTTTCCATTTTTATTTTCATACAAAAAAATAAAATCATTTTAAAACGAGTTCTAAACGCGCTAATTAGTACGGCCTTTGAACTTTATTGCCAATATCTTATCATCGCTGTATCGACAATGATTTTATTTGTTATTAATTTATTGCCAAATAAAAATGGTGGCACTTTAATGTGCTAAACGAAATGGTAACTTAATAGTATTATCATTTATTGCTAAATTTATCTCTAAATAAGTGGATTCTAAATTTTATCTCCCAATGAGTGCATGTCGAAGAAAAACCTATATATATATATATATATATATTTATCAATTATTTTAAAGAAATGTCTTGAAAGTTAGCTCATAGGTTACAATCAAAGCACCTATATGCCCAATGAAAGAAAATGAAAACTTTGTGGTAGGGTATGAAAAATATCTTATTAAAAAGGTTTTATTTGAAACCGTTGTATTTCTTTAAGTTTTGTATACTTCTTTTTATGAAATCTTTATTAAAATTTAGCATTTATAAAATATAGACCAGTATAATAACCCAGCTATATAAAGCTCTAAAGAAAAATAATATACTTAATAAGATGCATAACCTCATTCAAAGAGAGAGAAAAAAAAGAGATAACATCCTCAAAATAGCCATAGAAGGCCTTTGTAAAAATAACCTAATAGAAAAGCTTTATTCATAAAATAACAATTCAAAAATTTTTATTTGCAAAATGACTTTTTGAGAAAAAAAAGGAACCCAAAACCCCCTAATCAGTTTTCATGGCCAAACATGTGAGCCCACCGCCCATCCCCACCGGAGATCCGGCCGACCATCCCCATCCCCACCCGCGACCCATTGCACCTAAGCAAACCCAGCCAAGACCCATCGCGCCACCCACTTCGAGAACCCCAGCCAATCGCGCCACCCACTTCCGTGCAGTTTCTCCTCATCTCCGACGGTGTTAGCAAAAACCTGAAGAAAACCGAACTCCTCGTTAATCTGGTGAGGGCTTCGGAGCTTTTCCTTGAAGAATCCGAGTGCTTCGGAGCAGTGCTTGAGCTGATCCGGCGTGAGCGCCAATCGCGGCGGGGAATCCGGCGAGAAATTAGGAGCGGCCAACGGTTTGGCGGAGGCGGCGGCCATGGCGGAGGCGGATCTTCTCTGGAAATAAATGAAATTAAAATTAAAAAGTCATTTTTCTAATTTTACTTTTTTACTTGGTTATTTTAGCCAAATTCTCATAGAATAGGCACACCTGACGCTAGAGAAAAACAAGAGAAACAAGAGAGAGAGACTGAGATGACTAAAGAGAGAATGGTGACCAGAGTTTTGGAACTGCCTCTGAGCGCATCATTGAGCTCTTAACCCTAAAATTTGGTCCCCATTTTTGTTTGGTTGGGCTTTCTAGTAGTGATGGTGGTGTGCGGCAAGAAATTTCCGTTAAGGTGGATTGAAAGTAAGATGGTTCGTTTAGTTTACTGATTCGAATTAAGATGTGATTTTATGTGAGAGCTTTTTACTGTAGTAAAAAAGTTAAATGTGATTGTTTTTTAGAGCTTTTTACTGTAACAAAACTCGAATCGGTAAAATGAACGCGGTTGTTGCCGATGAGTATGATATGGTCAAGTTATTAATATGTCTCGTATTGTCTTAATTTAGAATATATTTCTATTTTAAAAAAGTTACGTAGAGTGATAGAGATTAAAAAAAACAAAAACAAAAATAGATTGATGTATATCTAACTAGTTAATGAAGCAAGAAAATAAAAATTATTTTTTATGATTATAATTTCAATTATTCTTTAATTATTAATTTGAGTTACATTAAGAGATAAATCCTTAATTTAAATTATTTGAGTTACATTAAGGAAAAAAAAATCCTTAATTTAAATTATTTGAGTTAGATTAAGAAAGAAAATAAAATTATTTTTATAATTATAATTTGAATTATTTTTCAATTAGTAATTTGAGTTACATTAGAGATAAATCCTTAATTTAAATTATTTGAGTTAGATTAGAATTCATTTTGCTCTCGTGTGTGTATATATATATTATGAGATTATGCCATAATTTCCCTCACCATTCTATTTTATTAGTATTCTAACGTTTAGAGGCAAAATCGTCATTGAGAAAACTCATCTCGTATAAATACCCAACCCAAAAAAAAAAAAAAAGAAGAAAAGGAAAATTAATAAAACAAAACCAAAAACAAAAAAAAAAAAAAAGAAAAAGAAAATCGTATCTCTCTCTCACTTGATCAGCAAAGAAGGGTTTTTTTAGACTCCACCGTCCTCTCGTACTTCTCTTCTTCTTCTTCTCTCTCTTCAGCTGCTGCGCTCTCTCTTTCTCTCTCATCACAAGAAGAAGAGAGAGAAACAAACCTCCAAACCCTATCTCTCTCTCTCTATCTCTTCTCTCCTCCAAATCCAATCGCATCCGATTCGGCGCCTCGCAGCCGCTGAATCTCTCTCTCTTCCCCTTTCTCCTTCATCATCATCATCTTCTTCGATCGAACGGCGGAGATTCAATCCGGAGCGAAACTTTGAGGTATGCAGCAGGCTGATCAGACGGTGTTGAGCTTGAGACCTGGTGGCGGTCGCGGTAGACTCGGTGGTGGTCCTCGCTTCGAGTCCTCCTCCTCTTCTGCTTCCTCGTCCTCTTCGTCCGCTTTCGCCTTCGGTTCCTTCTCCTCCGATCTCCCTTTCTTGCGCCCCCATGGCGGCGCTCCTCCCTCCTTCTCTCTAAAGGTATCGCCGTTAAATCTGTACTCTCTTTTCGTTTGGATCTGGAGCTTTTCGTTTCGATATTCATGTCTATTTGCTTGTTAGATTCGTGTTTGTGTAATAAGGTTGTGAAAGATACGATTTTTGTGTTTATGGTTAGCTGCAATAAAGGCATGCCTTTTCTGTATAAATCGTTGCGTTGTGTTTGCGGTGTTAATTTTTTGAGTTAGAATATGGATCTTGGATTTTTTTGTTTTGCCCATTACTTAATTGGGTTTTACATGTACTTGATCTGGGACTTGTCGATGAATGCTGCTTGATTATGTGTTGTTCGTTTATTATTTTTGTTTAATTTTTTTGGCGATTTGTTTGTTTGGTTACTGGTTTAAAAGTGATAAAAGTAATTGGGAAAGTGTTGAATAGTTATGGAATATTCTGTAAAGTGATTGTTAAAATTAATTCTAGTTAACGGGAAAGTGTTGAATAGTTATGTATTATTCTGTAAAGTGATTGTTAAAATCAATGTCCTAATTCTTGGTGGGTCACTTAAGTATGTGTACCTGCTGTAAATATGGACAGAGAGCTATTTGTAGGCTTTAGGTGGGCATGGTGTGGAGTTTTAGAATGCCCATAAAGGACCTACGGACATCAGAACGCCTGGTTGTGGTTTTCGATATGGTTAATTCGATCATGCAAGTTGTAATCAAATGATACATGTTCTAAGTCGATGCACTCTACATGTCTTTTGGTTGTTGATTTATTGACCTTGATTTGTTTCTGTTTTTCTTGGGATGTCAATGAGAAATTTTAGGAATTGTTTGTAGCAATTGAAGATAATAACTCGCAGATTACACTAAAATATAATCTTTGACAATGGCTTAGTTAGTTTTGGGAACATGGTCATATATGCCTGTTGTCTTTGTAAAGCTATATATAGAGCTACATCCTGGCTAGTTTGTTGTCGATCTGTTTGTTTAAATTTTTTATTTTGCACCTTGTCTTTTTCTAGACTGGAGACTCAAGGTTTGAGGGTCGTGAACGTGTGCGATACACTCGGGACCAGCTTTTGCAGCTTCGCGAGGTAATTAACTATTCTATGTACTTGATCAGTATAGGCGAGCGGAAAAGTGTAATTGCTGAATGTTGCATCCTAGTGATGTTTTAGAGCTGTCCCTTTCATGTCACTACTCATTAATGTACTTTCTGTACAAGTTCAAAAATATTTCTGGTATTCCTCTTCGTCTAGGTTGGTGAAGTCCCAGATGAGATTTTGAAGCTTAAACGGGAAGTTGAAGCTGAATTTCTTGGTGAAGAACAAAGCTGGGGACGTGGAGAAAGCAATGTGAGATTCTCCTTTCAGATATCATGATTCATTCTAACTTTATTCTCGATGATGTTTGCTTGCATCTAATATTTCTTAGAAATTGTTTGCTTGCACAGAATAATTTAGCAGTTGTGTATTCCTAGTTGCTCTTTCATTTATTTTCCTTGTGATGTCTTTCTTAATTTCATTGTCGCATCTTTTGTATGAATTTCCTTTCAGCCACCAAATCCACCCCAGAGCCGTTATTCTGAGCCAGACAACCGTGATTGGCGTGGCCGCTCAAGCTCAGCACAGTTTCCTACCTCTGGAGAGGAAAGGTCTTGGGAGGCTCTTCGAGAAAGTAGAGAGCTCGGAAACCGAACTGATTCTAGACAGCAGGAACCAAATCAGTTTAATCGTCAGGACCAACCAAACTCGCACTTTTCCAGGGCCTCTAATGAAGGGGTAATGGATGTCCCTCTTTTTTTATCACAACTTTTGCTGTTTCTAATGACTCTCTGAAAATTATTAGTACTCAAATCCTATTGTTTTTGTCTTTCATTGGAAACAAACAAATTACAATAAGATCTATTGTTGAATTATGTTTTAGACCTTGTTTTAGTGGTTGTAGGTTCTGCATTATTAGTTTTTAGTTGTTGAAGTTATATCCATGTTTATGCATAAATTTTTTGGGGCGGTAATTTTAAAGCTTTTGTGTATTCTATTACCAAGCAATTGTAAGTTAGGACATGTCAGATTTGTGTATATTGGTAACTTGGCTCTCATTGTAAATCAATGTGTTTCCTTATTATTTCAGGGTGGTCCTCCCCCCGCTCTTGTTAAGGCTGAGGTGCCATGGTCAGCTAGGAGAGGAAATCTATCTGACAAGGATCGTGTTTTGAAGACTGTTAAAGGGTAAAATATCGTGAACGCACTAATTTATCATTTAATTTTTCATCTTGTATGCTGACTGGTAGGTTTTTGCCTTGTCCTATGATAAGAGTAAGAAAAGCAGGGTTTCTGCCACTGCAGCTGTCCATGTCCTAGTACTGTTTAGAAAACGTTGAAGCTATTGAAATTTTTGAAATCTCTTATTTAAGCAATTGACTAATTAATGTTTTCATCTGGCTTACAAGATGTTTGGTCAAGTTTTTTCAAGTTAAGATATGTTTTCTATTGTTGCCTGATGGTGGACACATGGAAATTGACGTTGACAAAATCTTTTAACATCTTGGTAAAAATTAAAAAACCCAGTCAAAAGGTCTATAAGCTTTTTGTCTGCTTTCTGAGAAAAAAAAAAAATGTTTTCTGTGAGGAATGTTAAGTTTTCTGGTTGAACACAGCTGTTTCCTCTTCAGTGAAGTTTTATTTCTATGCGTGAACTGTCTTACCTTGCTTAATTGTCGCGGGAAGTTATTTTGTGATTGTTAAATTGCTTGTCTTGATCTAAAGTTGTTAAGTCCAAGTCATTCATTCATTTTATTTCTTTTGCGTATATGTATATATGTCTATGTTCTCCCCAAAAGGGAAGTGTCGAATTAAATTTGCTGAATACATTGTATTTTTTAATACAGTATACTGAACAAGCTGACCCCAGAGAAATTTGATGTCCTTAAAGGTCAATTAATTGACTCTGGCATTACGTCAGCTGATATCTTAAAGGTAATTTCTTTATCTACAGTCTACACTACACGCAACTACCACCATTTTACTTGGTACTTTCAAATAGCTATTAATCCTGTTTCATGTATTTCAGGATGTTATTTCACTGATCTTTGATAAGGCTGTGCTTGAACCTACATTTTGCCCCATGTATGCTCTTCTGTGTTCTGATCTTAATGAGAAACTCCCTCCATTCCCGTCCGATGAACCTGGTGTTAAGGAAGTCACGTTTAGGCGTGTACTCTTGAACCACTGCCAGGAGGCTTTTGAAGGTGCAGACCAACTCAGGGAAGAAGTGAGGCAGATGACTGCTCCTGAACAAGAGATGGAACGCAGGGACACAGAAAGATTGGTCAAGCTTCGGACACTTGGAAACATTCGATTGATTGGAGAGCTTCTGAAGCAGAAGATGGTGCCTGAGAAGTTAGTCCATCACATTGTTCAGGTTCTTATCTGGTCACATCCTTGTCTGTTCAGAGATTTCTTGAACCCAGTAATCTTTCTAAGTGGTTGATATTGGAAATTGCTTGTTGGTTTGTGAAACAGGAACTTTTAGGATCTGATGTTAAAGCGTGCCCTGCTGAGGAAAATGTTGAGGCAATCTGTCACTTTTTCAACACAATTGGTAAGCAGCTGGATGAGAGCCCAAAATCACGGCGAATAAATGATATGTACTTCGGCCTATTGAAGGAACTGACAACGAATCCTCAGTTGGCTCCAAGGCTGAGGTTCATGGTCCGTGACGTCCTTGATTTGCGTGCCAACAACTGGGTACCCAGGCGTGAAGAGGTATGTGGTGGTTGTGTGCTTCTTTCTTTCTTTTTCCCCCCTCCGGTGTAATTCCAGTAAAAGAGATACTAAGTGGAATGGTATATCTACTCTTTTGTTCTTTAGGTTAAAGCCAAAACCATCACCGAAATACATACGGAAGCCGAAAAGAATCTTGGATTACGCCCTGGTGCTACTGCAAGCATCAGAAATAGCCGTGGACTGATTTCTGGTGGTCCAGGGAACACAAGCCCAGGAGGCTTTCCCATTTCTAGACCTGGTTTAGGGGGTATGATGCCTGGAATGCCAGGAACCAGGAAGATGCCTGGGATGCCTGGGATTGGGATGGACAATGACAACTGGGAGGTGCCTAGGCAGCGGTCAATGCCAAGGGGTGATGGTTTAGGTATGCTGGGTGCTGGACGTGGTCAGTCACCTTTGATTGGCAAGTCGACATCACTGAATACAAGGCTGTTACCGCAGGGTAGCGGCGGACTTATTAGTGGCAGGACTAGTGCCTTATTGCAGGGCAGCAGTCCTGCTCGACCATCAAGTATTGGTTTTGGTACAGAAGCTCCACCTCTAGTCCCTCCATCAAGTACTGGTTATGGTACAGAAGCTCCAACTCGAGTCCCTTTGTCGGCTAGACCTGTTCCTGCTGCGTCAGTGCCTCCAGTTGCCGAGAAGCCACAAGCTCCAGCTGCAGGGCTTAATCCTGCTGATCTTCACAAAAAGACGGTGTCTCTTTTGGAGGAATATTTCGATGTGAGGATGTTAGATGAAGCGCTTCAGTGTGTGGAGGATCTGAAGTCTCCAGCTTACCACCATGAGGTTGTCAAGGAGGCGATTTCACTTGCACTGGAGCACAATAGCCCACCATTTATCCAACTAGCGGTGAGGCTTCTTGAGTATTTGTTGTCTAAGAAAGTCTTTACAGTTGGAGATATAGGAACTGGATGTTTGCTCTATGCATCATTGCTGGATGATCTTGGCATTGATCTGCCAAAAGCACCGAATAATTTTGGTGAAATCATAGGGAATTTACTTTTGATTGGAGGTTTGGATTTTAAAGTGGTGAAGGAGGTTCTTAAGAAGGTGGAAAATGATTGCTTCCAAATCGCTATTTTCAACGCCGCAATGCGGATTGTTAGTGAGAGTCCTTCCGGACATAGCGTATTGGAAGCACAAGCATCCGATGTTGATGCCTGCCGGAGTCTGCTTTAGAGATCCTAAAATATTTTTGCATTGAGTCCTTTGTTTTATGTAACAACAAGAACTTGTCGTTTTGTTTCACATTCAGTGCCTTTTCCTATTCACCCCCTTCTGAGGAGAGCTTAAGTTAAGTGATAAGGTGGAAGCTGCCAAGAACATATAATTTTTATGGAGTTGTATATTTTTTTTCCCCCAGAGATAACAGCACTGTGTGCTTTTTTTTTTCGAGGAAAGAAAAGAAACCATGCTGCCATAGATTTTGTTCCCAGAAGTGGTTGATAATGTGCCAAAAATGCCCCAAAGACAGAAGCCCTTATGGGATCCAGATGTTTTGTTTTCTATTCCATTAGTTTTGTACCATTTTTCCTTTCTCCTTTTTCCTTTTTGTTTGTTGCCTCTACTCCTTGAAAGGGCATCTAATATTTTTTCTTTCTTATGCTTGTTTTCATTTAAATGCTCTTTTCCTTGTTGACATGAAAGCTATATATATTCAGAGTCAATTGTATTGTTGTGCTTTAAATTTTTTGTTTGTTGCATAATACATCTTAAACGTTTAATGTTGAATTTTTAATAAATTGCATTCAGAATTTTCAAAGTAGTGGCGATTGAAGTTTAATAACTGACAAGACATTATTAAATTGATGATTATTGACGTGATCTTAGCATGCAAACCGTTAGTTTAACAACTATTGAACTGTTAATCTGATAATAGTTGTTAGTTATTAGACTTTAATTGGGATTTAGTTTAAAATTAAGGGTACAATTTTTTAAATTTAAAAGTTCGGACTGTATTTTGCAAAAAATAAAAAGTTTGGGGTGAACAGAGCAATTTACTCATATTTAATTTATGTCCCCTATGCAACTTCCTTTTTGAAAACAATAAAACAAGAGACATTATGGAAGAGGAATTAATGGTCTTTCGGCTTGAAATGTAGACCTCATGACGAGGGCTCAAACTGAACTCTGTTTTCAGTACTGATTCTGTGTTCCTATTCAATTGGAGATGATTTATACATCATATGCGAGAAAAACAGAACAAAAACGAAAGAATTACATCCTATTCATTAGTTAACATTGAACATTGCCGAATTAAACAAAATTGTTCATTCAAATTTTGATTTTTACGCCACAAAGATATTCAATTAATCAGACTTGTTTATTCAAATTGACTTTCATACCACAAAAAGCATATATAATATGGTTGCAGACATATTCTAGTGGTAAATCCACATTTCTGTAACTACGTTCTTGAGCTTGAATTCTCTCCACTCATAATTAAAAAAAAAAAAAAATTTGATAAGATGTCCAAACGCTTTGCTAAAATCTTAAATTTGAGCCGTCTTACTATAATTAGTAAGTTACACAAACATTCTTATATATATATATAACTAGTGAAAATTTGTCTCTATAAATAGACGCGTTTATATATTACAGCCGTCAACCAAAACATCCTCCATGTGTCATGTGGTTGTCGTGTTAGATTGAGGAGCTGTTCAAATGACTACTACCGTATGTGTCGGAGCAATTTTTATGGGATTTTACCGGAAACCAACGGTAACGTTTTCAATGTACCCATGCTATTTTGCTTATTATGTGTATAGTGTAAGGGCCGAAAAGTAATAGAATAATGGTTTTTTTATTAAACAAAAGACCTTTACTCCGAATTGTGAGGTAAAATTGCTCATGCTTTTTGCTTTGTCTCGAAATGAACTCAAAAACTTCAAAAAAATCATACTTTTCTGAGTTATTTATAAAAATGCGGATTAAGGGCACTGTTTCAAGACATATTGGATGGGAGATGGAAAATTGGTTTTGAGTACGGGAATAATGCATGGGGTGTGGCTGGGAGAGATTGAGTACAGAAATGCTTAATAAGACTCACAACAAGATGTTAATAATTCAAGATTTCCTAAAGATAAGAGAAGAGCACAAAAGTATAAGGAAAAAGGGATTGAACTACGGGTGTCGTTTGATACGAAAGTTTAAATTAAGGTGATTTTAATTTTGATTTTATAATTAGAACCATGATTTATGATTTTGGATCCCAATCATGATTCTGAAATCAGAACCAGAATCAGAGGTTTAAACCACCTAAAATCAAGGGAGAAGGTGGTTTTAGAATCATGGGTGATTCATAATTTAAAACATCAAATCAGGGTTCAAACCTTGAATCAGAACCATCATAATCAAATACTGATTCTGAATGAGCCAAATCAGAACCACTTTTTATTTTTGATAAATAAACACCGGTTCTAAATCAGAATCATGATTTTGGATTCAGAACCCTTACACTAAACAACATTTAGATTATGATTTATGATTTTGGGTCCAAATCATGGATCTGAAACTAGAACCAGAATCAGAGGTTTGAACCACCCAAAATCAAGAGAGGAGGTGATTTTAGAATCATGAGTGATTCATGATTTAAAACATCAAATCAGGGTTCAAATCTTAAATCAAAACCATTATAATCAAATACTAATTCTGAATAAGTTAAATTAGAACTACTGTTTATTTTTTTTAAAATAAATACCAATTCTGAACCAGAATCATGATTTTAAATTCAAAACTCTAATAATTCTAAACCAATTATTTATTTTTTATAAATAAATACCAATTCTGGTGCGTTTGGTTGAATGATTCGTGTAATGGTTCGTTGTTCGTTATAGTATTTTCTCTCATAAAATACACACATCAATTGAGAATGGTTCTTAATCATAATTCTGAATCAATCAACCAAACGTTATCGCATAACATGATTTATTAAGAGGAAGTAGACGAACCGTCGGTAAAAGTTATTGACATAGTGCTCAAATAGTGAAGCACTGTCAGCATGGGACTCAAATAGTAAAATGCTATTTGCATAGTTGTCAAATAATGAAAATACTATTGGATAACTATTGGCAACTATTTACAAATAGTAGGATGTTAAAAAAATCTTTCGAAGAAGCTCCAATGAAAAGCTATGGGAGTTGAAGAAGAAAAAAGGTGGAACGGAGGAAGAGGTGAGAAATAGGGCTGTTCATGGGTTGGATTGGTGCGGGATATGACTTTTTTTTCTCCGTCTTAAGGGGTGCGGGTTGCACATATTTAGCCCTAACAATGTTAGAAAAATTTCACAACCAACGATGTTCGGGTTGGGTTGGGGCGGTGCGGGGTGGGTTGGGTGGTCGGTTTCAACATTCAAAAAATTAAAGACTTAAAGTTCAATATAATATTCAAATTTCATCATTAAATAAAAATAGCAACCATCCTTATCAGTCCGGCAAGAGAGCACCGGAGAAAGTAGGCAAGACGGCGGCCGAGAGGACTGAGCAATGAGGAGAGAGTTATGAGGGGGTTCACGGGAGGGGAAGAAGAGGGAAAACTAAAAAGGAAGAGGCAAGAATAGGGGGTTCACGGGAGGGGAGACCGAGAATGTGATTGTGAACCCTAATGTTAACGAGCCTAGGGTAGAACTTGGGCAGTTCGGCTTGGGCCGAAAGCTTGGGGGTATGTTGTGCGGGTTGGGTTGGGGATTGCGGGTTGTTATGGGCCCAACTCGCAATCCGTCCCAAACACTTCGGGCCAGAGGTATAATGAGCTACAAATTTAAAAAATAATACTGCGGGTTGCTTTTTTCGGCTTGGGTTAGGGCGAGGTGGGTTGGGTTTGCGGGTTGTTCGGGTTTATGAACAGCCCTAGTGAGAAAAAAGAGAGAAAAAAGAGAGAGAAAGATGGAGAAAGATAAATGTCGTGTTTGGAATTGATCCCGTTTTTATTTTTTACGTTTTTTGAGAAAGAAAAAATGAAAATGTTTTCAAAACGGCATTTGGCGCAATAAAGATAAAAAATGAAAATGAAAACGATTTTTTGATTTAGTGTAAAATTTTAAGTCATTTTTTATTTTTTATTTTCATTTTCTCCTCTCCCAAGCAGAGAGAGAGACATTAATTGGTTTTTTTACACTGAAAATAATCTCTTGATAAAATTACAAAACGCATTTTCAAAAATGATTTCTGTCCGAGATTAAAAATGTTTACATTTTCATTTTCATACAAAAAATAAAATCATTTTGAAACGAGTTCTAAACACGCCCAAAGTAAGGTTTTCAAAATGGTTTTTATTTTTAATATAAAAATAAAAATAAGATTGTTTTGAGAATTATTTTAAGATCGATTTTAAAATTACGTTTGGGTAATTTTTTAAGAGATTATTTTGAGTATAATAAAAAAGTGAAATCGTGTTTAGTTATAATTATTAATTCATATATTATAACATTATTGATAAATATTAGAAAATGAAAACAGAATAGAAAAAATAACTTTCAATCGTTTTCTAATTTTTTTATAAAAATCATTTTCATTATTTTCTATTTTCATTTTTATTTTCAAAATATTTACTAAACAAATATAATTTGCAGACTGTTTTTATTTTCGTATATTAAAAAACGTGTAAAAATATTTTTAAAAATAAGTAAAAATTAACTCTAAACACACTCAAAATGTAGAGTTTGGTAAAAGAAAAAGAAAAGAAAAAGGAAGGAAAATAAACTTTAAATGGGAAACATGTGCCAAGAGAGGAAAATCCATCTCCAGTTGTTAATTTAGAACCTTGTGTTGTGGAAATTGTATACTCTTCCTAGCCAACTGCCTGACATTATTCCTTTACAAATTTGGACTGGTTACCGAATATCTTCAACATCCCTGTTTAGGGAACAAGTAAAACTGTTGTATTCATGTTCAGTTATCTAATTTAATATTTATGTATTTTTTCTATAGTTCAGTCGTTTTACTATTTCTTGCTTACTAGACATTTTCTAATGATTGTCTTTTTTTTGAGACTGGTCATTATCAGCATTTACTTATTTACGTGACGTTTGATTCATGAATTTAAAATTATAATTTATGATTTTGATTTTTAAAATTTAAATTTTTTGTGAGAAAAAAATACTGTAAAAAATAAAAAAATTATGATTCAGAACTAGAGATGAACCCTTAAAATAAATATCCTATTAGTTTCCAATTAAGACTGGTCTTTGTCAGCATTTGTTTATTTTCTAAGATTCATCATTTCCAGCAGTTATTTATTTATCAAGACTGGTCTTTACCAGCATTTGTTTATTTTCTAAGACTGGTCATTTCCAGCAGTTATTTATTTATTAAGATTGGTCATTTCTAGCGTTTATTTATTTTCAAGACTGGTCATCTCCAACATCATTTATCTTCAAGACTTGTTATACTTTCAGCGTTTATTTAATTTTCAAGACATGTCTCATTTCCAGTAACCGCTTATTTTCCAAGACTGGTCGCTTCCAGCAATTATTCAATTTTAAGACTGGTCCGATTACCAGCATTTCTTTTCTAAGAATGGTCTCACTTTCAGCATTTGTTTATTTTCTAAGACTGGCCATATTCCAGCAAAATGTGTCTCCCAACAAACTGGTCATCAGTCAGTATACTCTTGAATCAATTTCAATAAATTTTCCTTTATTTATTATTTAACTTGGAATGCTCTCAAT